ACCTCCAATCTCATCTCATTGATTGGACTCCAGTTGGCTGACATCTCACTCCAATTAGCTCTTGGAGATGTCATTAGTCTAGGGGTTCACATAATTTTTCCACCTGCACTGTCAATGTTTACATGGTGTGTTCAATAAAAACATGGCAACATTTCATTCTTTGTGTGTTATTATATAAGCAGACTGTGATTGTCTATTGTTGTGACTTAGATGATGATCACATCACATTTTATGACCAATTTGTGCAGAAATCCATATCATTCCAAAAGGTTCACATACTTTTTATTGCAACTGTAGACCTGGTATTCTAAAGATTCTAAAAATTGCTCTAAATAAAGTAGATGTCTAAGTACAGAGCAAAAAGAATAAAACTATCTAATCTTTATTAGTCCCTCATAAGGAACAGAAAATATATAAAAGTGCATACTATAAATGTACTACCTAAGTGATAAACACACAAAAACAATAGTGATGATAAATAAACAAATGTTAAAATAGGACCAACTGTCCTCTCACTGAAGTAGATCTAATTTGTAACTGGAAAGTGTCTAGATAGTATGTTGCAAATAGTTGCATGGAAATCGATACTTTGTATAAACCACTGAATAGATAGATCTATTATAACGCCTATGATGGAGAAGATAGTTATTTAAAGGACCACTCTAGGCACCCAGACCACTTCATCTTAATGAAGTGGACTGGGTGCCAGGTCCCTCTAGGATTAACCCTTTTTTTTATAAACATAGCAGTTCCATACGAAAGCATTATGAATGCTTTCCTATGAGACTGGCTGAATGCGCGCTGCTCCTGCCGCGCATGCGCATTCAGCCGAAGAGGAGGATGGGAGGCGGAGAGGAGGAGGAGAGCTCCCCGCCCGGCGCTGGAAAAAAGGTAAGTTTTAACCCTTTCCTCTCCCCAGAGCCCGGCGGGAGGGGGACCCTGAGGGTGGGGGCACCCTCTGGGCACTATAGTGCCAGGAAAACGAGTATGTTTTCCTGGCACTATAGTGGTCCTTTAAACCCTCCAGGGGGGTATGGAAAAGTATTAGGAGGAAAGGGTATTTGTGGCAATAAGATGATAACACTCCCCAGATATGCTAAATCGATTACAAAATTAGCACTGGAGGATAGAAATTATAATACCCTATAAAGAAAAATAAGAGAATATTGTATACTGCTATAGTAGGATAAATTGTAGGTGACCCAGGGTATAGGTGATGGTCGGTAGGTATATTTGTTAACCCAAAAGCCGTAATTTGTCATGAGACCGAGACGGTATCAGAGCGTCTCGGAATGTTATAGCCAGTTAGCGTGACCAAAAGACCCAGACCTCACCCTGCAGTTCAGTTAGTGCAGTATATATATATAAAAGTTAATAGATATTGGGTACCATGGAGTTTTACATATGTCTCGTTGCCTACAGTACTATAGGTGATTTGGAGTAAGGGATCCCTAAGTAACAATCTCCAGGTAATCAAACAAGTAATGATAGTACATAAACCAATCCCCCCTCTCAAAGGGAAGAAAATAGAGTGAGAGAGACCAGTGGTCCTAATATGAAATCATCCGCAGTAATGGAGAAATTGGCTCGATGCGCGTTTTGGCGATAACTTTTCGCCTTTGTCAAGAGCTAACTCTGGGCTACATCGCGCCTCTTTTTAAATCCACTAGGGGTACGCCCCTAGAGTATGACATCACGCACCAATCATATTGTTAGAAGGGCGTGTCTTGTAAAGTGAGAGGCTGTACGACGTTAATACAGAAAGTGTGTTAACTCCAAATTTGCTGGATTGAAACAATAAAAGTACCCGTTCATATGTGCCTCTAGAGAGATGAATTGTAAAGAGGCATACACATGAAGGGTTTGTTCAAAGAATAATGTGTTCAATTTTAAATAGAACTGTAAAAAATGAGTATAACTCCGAGGTTGTCAAAACATATTGGCAAGATTATATTTATATAGGAAAAAGGTTTAAAGGCATATTGATTCCAAGTGACACTATAGGAATGCCATAAATAGACCTCCATATATCCTAAAGGGGAGTCATGTCAAAATGAAGATAGTTCAGTAGTGAAAGTGTTTGGTAATGCCACGAATATAGTATTCTAAATGACAGTTGTTGGAAAATGATAATTCATCATAAGACCATATTTAATTGAAAATCACCTGTCTTTCAATATATCAATCTTAGAATCTATATTTCATTAGTAAAGATAGAGAGGTGAGTCAGTATAATTAAGACATTCAGGCTATGGTCTAATAGCTTCCAAAGCAAAAGAAAGGTGGGTGCAGAGAAGCAAACCCAATGTAGATGTACTTTTTGGTTATAGAACCATAGATGATTTAATCAAAAATAAATATAAAAAATATGATGACGTACCTAGACAACCTTAAGATGGATAGGTGTTGAATAACATGATACAAGTAATGGGCATGTATGTAAATAGGTTTAAAAAGATCAATAACCTTAAACATGTGGTGACCAGAGTGTTGAAGGTTTAGATAAAGGGTGCAAATGAGGCCTTTTGGGTTTTCAGTTGATAAATCCAAAAGCTCTCCCTTTGTCTCAAGAACCTGGCGTAATTGCCTCTTCGTTTTTCTCTTCGTACAAGTTCAAGCCCACAGAATCGGAGTCCTGATGGGCTACCAGTATGTTGTTCCTTCAAATGACGATCAATTGGGGTTATCAGTGGTTAACTTGGGGGACCTAGCATGTTCCTTTATTCTTTCCTTGAATGGTCTAAATGTTTTGCCTACATATTGTAACTTACAGTCACATGTAAGCAAATAGACAATCCCAGAAGTGTTACAATTAAAAAAGGACTTAATGTTGAAACACTGTTTACCATCGCTATCCGCGACTTTTTTAGAGTCACGTTTTATATATTTACATGCGACACAGTGTCCACATTGGTAAGAGCCCATAACTGGAATATTCAGCCAAGTATGTGTGGTTGGATGTTGGACTTGGAGGTGGCTGGGAACCAACAGGTCTCTGAGGTTTTTGCCTCTACATGCGGTAATTTCCATTTTTTTTTTACCAAGTATCCGTTTTAGATGTGTATCTTCCAGTAAAAGGGGCCAAAATTTCTGTATGCCATTCCTTACTTTGTCCCATCCTGCGTCATATGTATTCGGATAGCCAAAGTTCGGGTAAGCCTGTATAAATAAAGAGGGCTCACCAAATAAATTCTTTGTTAAAGGGTGAGGTGGGTAGGGTGCAATAGAGCGAAGACAGCTCTGCGGTTTGGGCACTCGGGCTCAAAAAGGTTCGCCATCACTGCTCTATCCGGACCACTCGTGCTCCCTGCTCTCGGTTCACTCCTCTGCGCCGCCTGGTCCACCCCACATCCGGGGTGACTGGGCTTCTCTCCGAGTCGCGGGCGGGTGGTCATCAGTGCCCGGGTCCTGTCTGGGTGCCAGTGGGGTGTTCAGGAGCCAGTTGCAGACCCGGATGTTCGGTAGTCTGAGAGTCCGCAGTGCCCGCGGGATGTCGTCGGGCCAGTGTACCTGCAGCCACATGGTGCCGTGCTTGATTTGGAGGCTGAAGGGGAATCCCCACTGGTAAGGGACCCCCCTATCTCGTAGACTGGCCGTGAATGGCCGGAGGGCACGTCTGGCATCTAACGTGAGGCTGGAGAGGTCCTGATAGAGGGACACTTCTGAGCCTCGGAACTGTATGCTCGCCATGCCCCTGGCCGCCGCCATCAGTTTCTCCATGGTGCTGTACGCGTGGAGGCAGCAAAGGACGTCACGAGGCCTTCCGTCTGGACGCTGGGGCCCCAGGGCCCTGTGTACCCGGTCAAACTGGATCTCCCTGGGGCCCTCCTGGCCCAAGATCTGTCGGAAGAGGGCCCGCAGGGTGTCGGGCAGTGGGGTTGCGTCAGGCTCCGGGAGTCCCCGGATCCGAATGTTCTGCCGCCGACTCCTGTTCTCCAGTTCTTCGACCTGGCGTCGCATGGAGAGCAACATGTTCCCCTGTCGTGTGGTTGCCAGTTCCGCAGCCCGGTGTTGCGTGCGGCTGGCTTGCGCCTCGGTCTCCAGGGCCTCTACTCTCACTTCAACCGCCAAAAACTCCGTCCGCAAGGCCGTGATCTCCTCCCTGATCGCCGTCCGGTGTTCCTGCAGAAGGCCGCCCGAGTCTGCTTTGGTAAGCATGTGGGTCGAGATCATGGCCAACTCCTGCTTGATCTGGGCCAGTGTGTCGTCCGGGAGGGAATCCCCCATGCTTTCCTGGCTCGGGGATCCGGGCGCCAGCTGCCCTGCGTGCTCGGTGTGCAGACGAAGTCGTCCATCGTGCCTGTGTGGCGGCGTGGGGGGCCACCCAGGACCTGAGATTTTTTATTTCGGACCATTTTTATCAGATTAGGCTGCTAAATAATTGCTATTTTATAGCCAGGGGGTGAGGAGCTCGGTCCCTACACATCCTGTCGCATGCTCCGCTCGGCCATGCCCCCCTATTCCCTATCCTTTAGTGTTATAGCTCCTTCCAGTGTAAGTAGTGTTATAGCTGGTATAGCTTTCCCCCCATACATTAGCCGAGATTTAATGTTAGGAGTAGATATGATTTTATTAAACAAAGCACTGTCATTTATACATGGACCCCCAACATTCAATAGCACATAATCCGCCCTGGTGTCTCCGTGTTTGGGAGACAATTGAGTTGCTGCTCGCTAAGCTAATTATCTCCCGAATACAGCGAACACTAAGCAAAAACACCCCCAAAACATGGCAAAATCAATAAGAACCCCAACACATGATATTTACCTGGATAGTTCTGATCTGAGCGCCCATGTTGGCAAAATAGCGATCGTATTCACGAAGAAGTGACAAATCACCACCAAGGTAAAGTTTTGACCGGTCGCTAGCCATGCCCAACAGAGTTCAAGGATAAATGGGGTTTTGACCAATCAAATGTCGTTAGCTGCTAAGGACGAAATAGGGGACGCTCCCCCCAGCTCTCAGGGAGCAATTGTTCCACATAGTTAGGGACGCCTTCTCTTCAAAATGCACTCCTATAGCTGTTTGGGAAGTGGAGGAAAACAGAGGGGTATTAGGGTAAGCCGCTGCCAGACTGGAGTTCCAGAGGAGTTAAGCATAAGTCCCGCTATAGTCCTAGCGGCTTCCTGGACTCCGGTTACGGCCAAAGGGAGGGCACTCCTGGCTGATTGGCCTGGAGGGATGGTGATGGGAGCCTAGCAGTGATAAAAGTATTTTGGGGGTGTGGCTTACACCCTGATGGGAAGAGAGTTCTGAGTAGAGCTGCAATGATCGAAGCGATGATCCTAAAACGTAGTGAAATAACTTCTGGTTTTGATCGCGGACTGCTGCCTCTGGAGCAACCAGCGCCGTCTTGTAGGCCAGGTTCCGCAGTTTGTAGTGCTGTGGAACATTTTCGAGTGAAGAAATTTTGTTTTTTTTTTACTTGTCCTACTACTTGTGTATCATCCTTTCATTCTTGCCCAGTTTCACACAGATCTTTGCCACTTTGAAACACTTAAGCGACTTTCTCCGCTTCCAGTCACACCCCACCCAAAACAATCAAAATATTTTAACAGTGAATGGAAGAATGGCACCTGGGAACTCCAAACAATATAACCACTTCAATGAGACGTCCCTTTAAGCATTTACCATAAGACAGACTAGTCCTCACTTTATTTTATGAGATGAGATTAACATCTTACTTCCTTAAACATCTTACACAGTCAGTATGGGAATTCTTTAAAGATTTTATCTTATGATATGCTCATAAGTACATTTTATGTGGACTGCGCATTGCACTTATTAATTACATTCCCAGTCCCAGTGAATCTAAAAGTTATTCTTTTTTTCTGTTGGCAGGCTGTTGAACTGTTGCTGAAGTATGGTGCAAATCCTTGGTTAACGGATGATAGTCACGAAAATGCTTTTGATAAATCTTGCAGTGACAGAATGACTGGTATCCTGAAAACTCACAGCTCCAAAAAAGTGTTGCCAATGAATGCAACTGGTATGTAATGCAATGAGCTAAGTGATCTAAAACTGATTTATTTAAATTTACACTTTTTTTAAAAATCATGTTGTTCATTCGAAGAGCTGAAAAGTGTGTTTGCAATATTCCTGAAGATAAAATACCCTAAAATAGGCTTAAATATTCACAGTATATATATATACACATCTCCATCCAGTCACAGCAAGTTTTATCAGTTCCTGCTGTAAACCATAATGGGCTGTGGACTTGCTTCTGGCCTTCTGCTCTACTTTGCCATCAAACATATTCAATGTGTGAGATAACCCATGACTTAAATGCCCTATCCTGCTTTCTGTATATATATATACAGAAAGCAGGATAGGGCATTTAATCCATGGGTTATCTCACACATTGAATATGTTTGATGGCAAAGTAGAGCAGAAGGTCAGAAGCAAGTCCACAGCCCTATGATTGAAATGCCCTATCCTGCTTTCTGTATATATATATACAGAAAGCAGGATAGGGGATTTAAATCATGGGTTATCTCACACATTGAATATGTTTGATGGCAAAGTAGAGCAGAAGGCCAGAGGCAAGTCCACAGCCCATTATGGGTTACAGCAGGAACTGATAAAACTTGCTGTGACTGGATGGAGATGTGGTTCTGGACAGGATTTTTTTTTTAAGATGTGGAACATGCTCAAGATAGCATGTGGGTAACTACAGCTTGCATCCCTAAAGATGTCTGATGGCAATTGAAAGTCCATGTTTTAGTCCAAGGCAAGCACTCCAAAAAAGACGTTTATAAGAGTAGGTCAACCAAACCATGCATACAAATTATACAGCTTAATTAATGTGAATCAAAGCTTTTTCAAGAAAATCTTCTTAATATCATCCTCAGATAGATTCAAGAAAACTGCTGTAAAACATGTCCTGTGTAATTGCATGATGTAAGGCATGGGTTGCCAACCTGGTCCCTACCGCCCACCAGTGGGCGTTTTGGGATTCCAGGTGGGCGGTAGCAGAATCCTCCCTCCATCTAGAGAGATGAACACTTTATTCATCTCTCGTGCACTCAGTGGTAAGCAGGAAGTGCAAGGTTGCAGATGTGAGTGCATGAAAGCATGAGCGTGTGTGCCTGAACGCGCATGTGCGCCCATATCGCACGGGCGTATGCACGTACGAATGCGTGTGCTCGTGAACGAGTGTAACGCGCGGGTAGAGGAAGGGGAGGAGTTGGAGTATGTAGGGGGATACACGATAGCAGGGAGTGGAGTACTTAGAAAATAGGAGAAAGAAGGAGCAGAGTACTTGTAAAAAAGGAGAAAGGAGCAGAGTACTTGTAAAAAGGAGAAAGAAGGAGCAGAGTATTTGTAGAATAGGAGAAAGAAGGAGCAGAGTATTTGTAAAGAAAGAGCAGAGTACTTGTAAAAAAGGAGAAATAAGGAAAATAAAAACTCTAAAAAGGAAAAGGAGAGAATTGTTGTTGGCTAATAATAATAAGTGGGCTACCTAGCTCAGCCTTCCTACTGGGCATTGCTATAAGGAAGGTTAAAAAATATAAAAAAGGAAAAGGGGGGGGGGGACTATTGAGGAAGGAGAGGAGGGGAGCTGATGCACGGATCATATTATGAGAAATCATATTATGAGCAAACAGAGAAATCTTCTGAATATCACTGAAAGAGGAGACCATCGTTTGTTCCTTACGAAAATCGAACCAGATATCATATATTTAGTCTCGCAGCATCAACCTCAAGGATCTGATTAATCACTAGTAAAGGTAATTTCCATTTACTTTATTGTTTTCTCATTAAACTTTATAAAGTTAAAAACATTATGCGCATGCATAAAGTAGAAATAAAAAGATAAATGTACGTACATTTTTTAAAAAACACCCTCATTCTAAAAAATATTCAGCACTTGCGCAAAAACTGGTGGGCTACCCCTGATGTAAAGTATATTATTGGAAATCATAACATTTACCTTTATTGAAATTCTAAGAAATAAAATAACAAAATATTTTCAGAGGTTCAGAGTTCCCCATCAGATGCTTTACTGGTTGTGATATATCAAAGGAGGTCATACACATCTTGAGATAACCAGCAAGACTAACAAGCCTGGTTTAGAAAGTCTGTCACAATAAACTCCACTGATATATCTACAAAATATAAAAATAATTCAATATAAACACAGAGGGGGGACTCAAAGACGAAAAGTGAAAATTGTGAGGAATGTCAGCATAATAGTTCGAAGCACAGTTGTGGACTAGTGTTATAATTTAAGGAATTGTTTGCCGTGAATGTTTAAAAAAAAAAAAACTAATGCAAACAGTGATGTCTTTATCTGAGTATCCTTATAATCACAGGGAAAGCCAAATTAAATATTTTTTTTGGAAGCAAATGCACATGGTTATTTTTAAATATATTTATTTTTTATTGATGTGCATAAGTCAGAATTTTATAATGCAAACATTTATTTAATTTTTTTAACAAGCCATTATAACAAAGCCATTTGCTCTTACATTTTGTTTTAGGGACTGGATTCTCACAACTTCAAATGGTGTCTGGTTCATCTTCAGCTGTCCAGAAATACACAACTAGAAACAAAACTAACAAGGTAGTTAATTTGTGGTAAAGTCTACATATAGTGTGTGAGCTTGAAGCAGAAATCACTGGTGTGTAGTTCTGAATTGTAGGGGAAGTTGGAAATCTTTTTGCATCAGAATATTTATAACAGTAATAGTTGTAGTAATGAATTAGCCAGGCCCTTTCTCAGATTTAGTCCAAGTGAAAACAGACGGAAATTATCAAAATTGACATAAAGAAAGATCTGTTTAACCATATCCAATTCCCTTTGTAACTTCCGTCCTAGCGCCACAACATCATGCAAAACATTTATTAATAGGCATTGCATCCAAAACCAGAAACAATGTGGATCCAAAAACCTTCAGCAAAAACAATCATTTCTTACCTCTCTCTTTACATGAGTACATTTGTTGATGAGGTATCAGGCATTCCAACTGCACTGGAGTCCATTCTTTTGTGAATTTGATCGGTTACCTGCCCGGACCCTACTGCAAATGTATTATAACAGCTTACTGCACTAGAAATACCAGCACTACCAATCAGCTTAGCTGGCAACCTCTGTGGCAACATCAAAGTCATCCACAGCATTACTTTATTTCTCCTAAAAACTGCTGAAATATACAAAAAGGCTTATAAGCAATTATCAAATGAGCATGGAATTTTACACTTCAGTTTTATACTCTGCAGAATTCTTATGTTATTTTTTTTTTTACTGAACGCAGAAGCAACAACAAATCACTATATTTTTCCACAATCTTCTCTTTTACCTGAGCTGTTAAGTGGAAACCTAACAGAGAACTTACTATGCTTATACTTCTTTTCTGAAGTACCCCTAATAGAGCACTACTATTACTCCAACCACACCAAGCCTCAGCTGTACCTCTTTATCTACACCGATAAGAAAGGCTAACAGTTTACAATTTTAGTAATTACAAATTACTCATCAGAATTTGCCTCATACTTACCACCAGACATGCCAGCTCTGTCTTGAATCTCTAGTACTGGTATCTCCTCTGGCATCCAAGCTCTCCTCAAGCCCCAGGAACAAGTCTTCAGCTCTCAACCTTGCACTTGGATAGAGCCAGACGAGGAAGGCAGGATATCTTTTTACTTTTCAGGTGCTGTCCCAAAAGACTGGTATTACTGCACAGTGTTTTCCTACTTCTTGCCAACAGGTCGCAACTTCAACCACCACTTTTTCACGCATGCGTTCATATTCAATAATAAGGACTTCAGGCCATCTTCCATCTCATGTGGCAGCTCTGTCAGTAGATGGATGCTGCGTCCATGAGGTGATGCAGCTGCTCAAGGCTCCTCCTCTTCAATGCGTGAAGCACCCAAAGATAAACAGTTCTTCAACTCCCTACTCAGCGATTACAGGATTTGTCTGTTAAGGCATCAGAGTTTCCACAGCCATTGATCCGGTAAGCTCTGCAGGAATGAGGGGGTCCATTCGTGCCACTCTCCATGTCCACTGAACAGGCTGGCAGGATTTTGCCTCACACTCTGCTTAGATGCTTTCCAGTTTCCTGCCGTTTTGAGATCATGACTTGTGTCTAATCCCAGTCCAGCTCCAGTCTCCTTGCAACAGCACTGTCATCTACATCTGCTTACCTAATTGGCCCTGCAGCTTATTGCCTCCTTCTAAACAACCCCATATTTTAACACCACTATTAACCCTATCAT